GGAGCAGAGAGAGCAGAGAGAGACAGGAGCAGAGAGAGCAGAGAGAGACAGGAGCAGAGAGCAGAGAGCAGAGAGAGAGGAGTACTCCCTGACCTTGAAGTACTCCAGCAGCCCGCGGCAGGTGACTTTGGCTCCGTTGATCTCCTTCTCCATGAGCTTCTGCGGCTGGAGCACCAGCGGGATGAAGGTCTGCAGCTCCGACTTGAACTCCGCTGCGATATCTGGGACAGACCAGAGCAGCCGCTGTCAGACAGCCTGATCGAAACAGGCGGCCGGCACCCGAATCCTGACCCCTGACTGGGTACGTCTCTCGGCTCGCCCCAGTGGAAACTGTATAAACGCACCTGCAGTTTGTGCTCAACTGATTTGCCAGGCAAAGTAAAAAAAAATGCTTTTACCGCACTGAAATACAGTTTGAGCGCCGCCCATCACTGACCAGGGCACAGAAAACAATCCACCGGCACAGCAGTCCCAACCACTCCGGGATTTACCAGCTGAAACAAGCACCGTAAAACCAGGAGCGGATCAGACTGCCCTGCAGTGGGAGTCCAGCTGTCAAGGCAGGCTTAGAGAGGGGGCAGTACCGCTGAGCTGGCCGGAGAAGGAGGGGCTTGTGGCGACCTTTAACCCCGGGTGTGGCAGCAGGAAGCAGGAGACGTTGGAGAAGCAGGAGTGGATGTGTTTCCGGACCGTCTGGATCTCCTCGTGCTGAGCGTCCTTCACCTGGGAGCAAGGGAATGATAATGAGAACAAGATCAGATCAGAACCACCTGACCAGCTGTCCTCCCAGTCTAACAAGACTGGACCTGAACCACTGGGCCATCTGTCCTCCCAGTCTGACAAGACTGGACCAGCTGGCCTCCTGGTGTGACAAGACCGGACCTGAACCACAGGCCCAGCTGTCCTCCTGGTCTGACAAGACCGGACCTGAACCACAGGCCCAGCTGTCCTCCTGGTCTGACAAGACCGGACCTGAACCACAGGCCCAGCTGTCCTCCTGGTCTGACAAGACCGGACCTGAACCACAGGCCCAGCTGTCCTCCTGGAAAAGTGGCGCCCCCTGGCTGTGACCTACCTGCAGGCGCTTGTCCAGGAACTGCATCCCACCCTTCAGCCCGTAGCTGTACTCGTATGGGAAGCTCCAGTCTCGGATCAGGAACATCAGGGACTGGGACACAGAGGAGGAGTACATAGTCAATTCCGGCCAGATCGGAGGCATGCAGGTCGGATCAATACTGGCTAATCAAGCTGAAAAGGGTGAGAGAAGAAGCCAATAGAGGCCAAAACCAGCGACTGCCGATCAATATTCATCATCATTACAGGAAGGCACTGGTCAGCAATGGTGGCTCTGTTGTTCAGGATCTGCGCCTGTGGCTGGAAGGTTGCCGGTCCATATCCCACGGCCGGCAGAGGAATCCTACTCTGTTGGGCCCCTGAGCAAGGCCCTTCACCCCAGCTGCTCCAGGGGTGCTGTACAATGGCTGACCCTGCGCTCTGACCCCCAGCTTCTCTCCCTCTGTGTGTCTCATTGGGAGCAAGCTGGGGTCTGTGAAAAGACACATTCCTACTACAAGAGATTGTATAGGGCCAATAAAGAGATCTTATGTTATCTTATCTAACAGAGCAGAACCCCACCAACACAGAGCTCCTGGACACAGGTCACACAGAGCACA